GCTGTGAGAGAGAGAGAGAGAGAGAGAGAGAGAGAGAGAGAGAGAGAGAGAATCTCTTACATTCTTTATTATCTTTCTCACAGCAGGTAAATCAGGGGCAAAGAGGATTTTCCCCATCAGTAGTGGTTTTACAGCCCTCCAGGCTATTTTGGTTAAAGGATTGGATTCCAAAGTCTGGATCAATGTATTACAAAAGGGTGCTGTTGGGGGGAGCAAAAAGAGAAAGGAGAACATACTTTATATAGCAGTGGCTCATTTTCATTGTTCACAACATCCTGCGAAATCTAGACTATTCTCTGAAATGGTGTTTCCATATTACTAAGAGGAAATGGCAACTACATCAGCATCTAGGAACTGAGCAAGTGTAGCACAGGATTTATGCTGCATCTATGCAGTCACTGCAAACATAGTTACCAAAGCACAGCAATATCATTTGACCAAAACCCAGAGGAAAGAAACCATAAGTTTAATTATTCAGTGCATTTTATAGCAGCAGAAAAACAACAGTCACAGGTCCATAGGCCTAAAAAGCTGCAAAGTTTCTACAATATTATTTTCCCCACAAAACTCAAGTGGCAATGCCAGAAAGGTGTATGCAAATATATACACGTAGAAATTGAGTAGGAAGGGTAAGAGAAAAGTTGAAATATATTATCTCATGTATATTTCACACTTACCAAACAGAACCAACTGTATATTTCACAATAATTGCATCCAGGTTTCTATGCTTGTATGCAGCCTCAACAAAATTTCTGATTTAAGATTGTATTTAGTTAAGTTGATTGCAGTCTCTACTTGCTCAAACAAAATCCAAGTCTTTGGGGAAATAGGGTACAAATGTACAAAGTCTTCTTGATTTGTCTTGTAAAAGACGTATGCAAGTGGAAACATTTGCCTTTAACAGCAGCAAAGGATAAGTTCAAAAGAAGATGATTTTGCAAGCATAGAAATGCAGGGATGAAAAACTTAACTTGCTGAATTTTTGCCTCTTATTGCAGATGTTAAAGATTAATGAGCCCATATAGAAAGAAAATAGCAACCCGAGAGCTACAACTCCTGTTGTGGAACACCCCTTGCCAACTACAATGTTGTTTTATATCTTCCTAACTCTGATGTGTGGTACTACATGATTTATTTAGGTATCTTTCTAAATATCCAGTTTTTTAGAAATGCCCCACCCAAACAATTTTTAGCCCTGAGACAGAAAATCCAAATCACACCTGAGACAGAAAATCCAAATCCAAATCAACCATTGATCATTTGCCAACCTTTAGTGCCACCCAAAATCTATTTCTGAGGCCATCACCAGACGCTCATGACACAGATAATCCCTCATCTTCAAATTAATTAGAACTCAAGTTTCTGAGAATGGGGTGAAATTCTTTAAGCTAATTAGGTAGATATGCAGATATGAAAATTATCAAATGCCAGATATAACATGGAAAAAAATTCTATGTGCAAGATTCAGTTAAGTTGCAACTTACTAAACAATCAATATATATGAAAAACTCATCCCAAACCAAGTTCTTGCTCAAACAGGAAGGACTAAAACTAAAGAAAGCTACAAAACTAAAACAATTCCAGTTAAAAATTTGCAGAGGCACATAATCAAACTATGAACAAGTCTTACTGTGATGGTACAAATAATGAACACATTCTTAATAGTTCTGGCAAGCTTAGGCTTTAAAAGAAGCTATTTAAAAGAAGCTTCTTGCTTTGTTTCTATTGTTTTGCCAGTTAATTTTACACAATTATTCCTTCTAATGGTTGGGGCATCCCCCAGTATTGTCCACATTTGAGTCTTCTTGTTGCTCTCTTTGTAGCATCTGGTGCTTGCCAGCATCAGAGTTAAGACACTAGACCAGATAAACTGATGGGTCAGTCTTAAAAGGACAGTACCCTTGTATTGCTAGCAAACATGTACATCCACCGGATTCCAGACCTAATGATTCCTAATGATTATGCCTTAGCACAGATGAAACACTAATTGCTCAAGCCAAACAACTAAAATGACTAATGGTGTAGACAGTAGCATTATCCATCTTTACACAAGCTTGTCAATCTGACATGAAGTCACAGGCCAAGATACTTACTGGTTGTGTTGTCATAAAAATAAATAGATTCTTTCTTCATGGAGTCAACCCCAAGGAAAGCCTTGTAATTATTATCTTCGTACCAGTTGAGAGAGAGTATTCTGGAACCACCTCCTTCTGGGTAACCACAGAGGAGATCAGATAGATTACTCATCAGCTGCCATAAGGAGGCTGACTCTCCATCTTGCAGTGGTTGCAGAATAGACAAAAGGTCTTGAACACTTGGCCTACGTGCTAGCTGTAGTAAAAGCAAACATCTTAATGAGTGGATGTACTAAGAAAAGGAAGGGGTTAGAGACACCTGTGTGAACTGCGGATCAGAGGTATCTGCCACTAAAAGAATAGATAAGGACAATTTTCTGTTTCTAGGTCTTTGATACAGAAATGGACAGATCCCGCTGCTATGCTCTTCTAATCTGTCAGAATCTATTCAGTTCAACACTGACTTCATTAAACATGAGAAAGTATTGATCTAATGTTACAATTAGAACTGCTGAGTTGAATGAAGATGAGATGAGCTTGACCACGAAGTCTGAAAGATGGCAGAGTAGGATGGACTTTGTTGAATTTTGGTGGCAAACTATATCTAGTTTTCCATTAAAACGAAGGGGAAATTGACTCTTTTGGTTGTCATGGTGCCACATTTCTATAGTAAATTTGGCAGGAGCAGCAGTGGAGGCTGAGAAAAGGAGATGCACATGCAGTCCGTGGGCTGCACACCCTTGGGTTCCACATATATTTTCATAATCCAGTGTGTCATACAGAGACAGGCAAAGGAGACCAAAAATCAAACAAGATAGCAGTGAGTCCAGAAAAAGATTAGATCAGGCAAAATGTGAGGGCAGAGTATAAACAGCAGTCCCCTCCTAGTAGCTCAGGACAAAGCAACAGAGAAGATATTCTGTTGGCTCTGGATGCCAATCAGATCGTCTGAGGTTGTCTGGACTTAAATCTACAGAATAAGGTTATAAAGTAGACAGTATCACCTCATGGGCAGAAACTGTTTTTAGTGTTCCTCTGTATAAAAATAATGCCCTGGAAGTAAAAAAGCTAGTACATCAGAGAGAAAGATTTTTAACTCAATACTCTCACAGATGCAGTAGTTTGGTTTAAGTTTCAGGGACTTTTCAAACACAGAGGAATATAATTTGAAATTATTCCCATCATTCTACCCTGCCATCTCAGCTCATTCTGCTGTGAGTAGAGGATCCAACCTTGTCTGAATTCTCCCAACAACCTGTGGCAGGTTGAAATGGCCAGGCTGGTGTGATGGGGGTGCAATCTTATGCAAGATCCCTGAAGACACAAATCTTCACAAGGATGGAATGGCTATTGAATAAACCCTAGGCAGCTAGAGAGATTATTGAGAGGGTGAAATTACGAAAATGGCCCAAGATGCTGTGAGGTTCATTTTTCACTGAAGGATGCTTGCCTGTGTTCAATTGTAGGTAATTACAGTTGTCCACTGATAAACCATTTAATTTAAATTTGGCATTGAAAATAATTTAGTCTGTAATAGTAGATAAGAATGGAAGCGGCATTGTGGTTCTGCCTGCTCTGAACTACCTTAAGTTGAAAAACAAAAATGGGAAAATCATGAACCACCACTTAACATGTAGGTAAAGCCTAGGTTTTTATATTGCTTATATGCTGCTCTCTTTCCATGGTGGGACTCTTACCTTTTGCACTGCTTGAGACACATTTGAAAGTATTCGCCTCCACAACTGCAGGTCAGGACCTTGTGTGTTATTGTCTAAAACACTAGGAAGCTGTAAATGAAGAAGAGTTGGAGACTAGTGAGACATGAATAGCATTCATTCTAACTTGCCATGACTCTGGAATTACCTTAGGCTAGGCTCCCAAGCCTCTTAACAGAGACTTGGGGGTGAAAACCATGGCAGTGGTAATAGAGGTGGTATATTGTCTAGAAGGAGTTGGTGGAATGATGCTGAGGTCCAAAGTTGGGGTAGGCATGTTGTGGCCTTCCAGGTGTATTGGTCTGCAACTCCCATCAGCCCTAGCCAGCAGGTAATTGTGAAGGCTGATGGGAGTTACAGGCCAATGCAAGAAACAAAGGAGGTCTTTATTGGGAAGTCAGGAATTGGGAGAAAGCATTGCTCTAGCCCTGGAGAAAACACCAGACAGATCTTTGAAATATAAGCTGGTCTGTTCCCAAAGGAAATGTTGATTGGTTGGATGCTATTTATTTCTTGTACTGTTTTTAATTTATCTTTATGTTATATTTTAATTAAGATTTTTATTTTAATCTGTAGTTTTGTATTCTATATATATATATATATATATATATATATATATATATATAGTGTGTGTGTGTGTGTGTGTGTGTGTGTAATTATGTGTATGTGTAATTGTGTGTGTGTGTTAGTAGTGGGGAATAAGAACTGCCATTTTGATTCAGGTCAGTGATCCACCTGAATCAGCATTTCTGCAAACTGACAATTGTCCAGTCATTTGGCCATTAAGCAACATTTGATAAACTTGATAGCACTATCAGCCATATAAATAGACACCTGAATTCATGCTGAAAATAAACTGGGAGCATGCTCAATTTTATACTCAACCAGGTGGTCACTCTTTTATATAAAGGGACAACAACTATTTCCAGTGTCACAAAGTGGTTTGGACCACCTCTGTCACTGGTCAAGATTTTGTGGAATCTGAAATAATATACTTTGCTTTTCTGGACAGTGAACTGAAACATACCAAATGAATTGGAATGCATGAGCCACACTTTTTTCTACTCTGCAGACTGTGGGAAGAACATAATCCAAACATGAAGATGATCCACTCCCTTTACCCTCTAGGTTTCATTCTTCTAGCTTGCTGAAATTATTTCAAAATGCATCATTCAGTGGCATCATACATATCATAGATTAGAAGGGAGGATTTCAGTATCCATGGTCTGTCTGTCACTTTATGAGAGAGGCCAGTCAGACCAGGAAATTGCAGGATGAGTGATTTTACAGGGCAAAAAAGGAATTTTAAGAATTCACCTAATCCATGTTACTGTCTATTCATTTCCTTGCTCTACCACACACTCCCACACTCCCACCAGTGTATTGGATTAGTTAAAATATTTAACCATCCCTTAGAATTCTGATCTTTCATTTGACCTTCTGATTTGGCCACTAACATCCCTTGGTTGTTATTATTTTTGTGCATTCTTTAGGTGGAAAAGAAGAGAGATGTCCAGATATATGTTTTATCAAACCTGGTTATATTATATGTGACTTAATGATGCAAATCCTACATGCCTTTATCTGGGAATAAGCCTTGTGGAACACACAGAACATAATTTTGACTAAATATGCCCAAGATTGCATTACAGTTCTTACCAGATTATGTTAAAAGCAGTATAAAGACTACCATTATGAACGCTGGGCTAAAAAGGAGACCTGATACTGAATACAACACATTGTACAACATTGGCTGTAGTTGGTGGGAGCAAGGAAACTTGTGACATGATATTATGAGCTGGGGAAAGTGATACTCCATGTATGCTAAGAATGATTTTGACCAAAGAGAACCTGTCTGGGGAAGCATCTTGTTTTCTCCTAAGGCTTAGTGATAACCATGCACACATGGACACAGGAAATTGTAAGGAAAAGACATGGTGCCTCACTCACTCATCATTACCGGAGACCTTGAGGAAGTCATAAACTGAAACTCCTGATCCAACCGTTTTGACTTTTGCTCCTCACCTATAGCAGCACTGGGCAGAAGACAGAGCTTTAAATGCCTGGGAGCTCAATTCCCATAAGCCCCTTCCAGCATAGTTAATGGCCAAGAATAGTGCAATTTGAAATACAAAATATGTAAAGATCTACTTTCTTCCCACTCCCAACCTATACTTCTAAGCTGGCTGGACATCTTTCCCCATCCATTCACAGTTTTCAGTGGGAATCTTACCCATTATGTGATTTTCCTTTCATTCACTCCTCCAGTGCCTCCTTCTCTTCCCAAGTGACAAAAGCAAATGCAGGGCAACAATGGAAGGGAAGTTCTTTTCCATCTTCTGCTACAGCAAAAGTGGACTTTAATCACAGAGGCATGTGTTCATTCAACCGTGCAGCTTAATAGGTGGCCTTGGGCAACTCAATGGCTGAGATCAGACAACCTGACAAGCCATGGTAGGTTTTTTTTACCATTGCTGTTCTGTTGTGCTAAACCAGACATGGAATGTCACGATGGTAAGCTTAGTCTTTAGAAACCATGATAAGAAATACCAGCTTTTTCTATGGTTTTTATGTACCATCATGGCTTATTGTACTGTCTGAACCCAGAATGATCCTTTCCATGGTCATGGTATGCAACGACAACTGAATTATGTGGAAAGAGTGGCAACTGCAGGATCTGCTCCAGCCATCTACCTCGACGAGTATATCGACTAATGAGGAAGAGGCAGGTGACATAGGGAGAGAGGGATGTAGCTTGGTATTAAATTTCAGGCACATGCCGACAGTGGGTGGACTGAGCAAGGAGCATGGGGACCATGATGAAGTAGAAATGATTTCATTATGGTAGCCATGCAGGGTTACTTTGCAATGTTGTACTCGTATGAATGCAGTCACTGAGTTTCCACTGCAGTGAGGATAGGATAACCCTACATATGCTATGAGATCCTTGGAGGAAGGACAGCATATGTAGTGGAGCCTATCACCACTCTTGGCAGGTATCCCAGGGTCAGCAAGACTGGGATTCTGAAGGGGAATAGGATCTTCAGACAGAGATGGGGAATTCTGGGAGACCAGGCAGAAGCTCAGGCCTTTGAAGTACCCTCAAAGTCGCTGCCCAGATCAACCAGGAAAGTGGGAATGTTTTGGAAAGGATGGGAGGAAGGAAAGGAAGAGGATGAGCCCTTGCCTTGCTCTCTCTCTAACCCCATGATAAGATGCTGGGAGAGATGAGTTGCCAGTTAAACTGCTTGACTTTCTCTCCCTGGCTGGCCTGTCAACAGCAGGAATTACCCTGAGGGTGGAGCCCCAGAGTCACTGAAGGAAAAGGTTTTAGGAAAAAGACCCTAGTTTGGATTCAATAATCATTTTTAGTATGCACATGGAGTTATCTTCTAGCTTATAAAGGAGCTTAAAGCATTACTTTTTCTTGTAGCTGAAAGGTGCCAATAAACTATCTGTTTTGCAAAGAGACCGACTGGTGTTCAGCGCTTTGGGGCAAAAAGGAGAGGAATGCACTCATGAGAGCATACACCTGCAAGAGATGGTAATTACCTATGTTTGTCTACGGTTGTGGTGTGAAAGCACAGGCCCATGGGGTGAGTTTGGCCCTCTGGAATTCATTACATGGCCACACTCCCTTTCCCCTGATCACTATTTGATGGCTTTCCATCTTTTGCATGGCTTCCCCCTATTCTAAAAGGTTGAAATATCATTCCTAAATCTTAGCTACTGGCTGGAAGATCTTTAAGTTAAAATATGTTTGTATTTTTGTATCGTTGTCCAGTTCTTACTGCTTTTGGTTCCACCCCCTTTTGCCTTCAGTCACATCCAATATTCCCCCCCCCCACCTCAATAAATAATCCAGAACTGAATTGAGCCCCTGGGATGAAAGAGGTTCAACACACCTGGTCTAGGGGCATGCATAGGTGCTGAGGTGTGCATTCCTGTCAGGTGTAACAGCCCTACCATTGCAGTTATGTGGGAGAAGCACTGCTTGAGCCTTTCCCCATCTGGTGCCCTTCAAATATTTTGGATTACAATGCTCACCATCATTGGCCAAGCTGGCTAGGGCTGATGGGAGCTGAAGGTTCAAAATATCCATTCCCATGCTAAGTCATGTGGCTGCCATTTTCCATTCCAATGTGTTTTCCATTCCATTTTGTAAAGTAGAGATGAACTATTGCAGGGCCATCATGCAAACAGGTGTGGAACACCTGGCTAAGGCATTGGGAACTCTTCTGCGCCTGAAGGTCAAATTCAGTCTGGGGGAAGCGTTTAGGAGTTGAGTTGCACTGTGGGGTGGGACTGAAGGCAAGGAGGTGAGCCTTAGGAAGACCATTTGAATCTTTTAAATGCGCGGTGCTGGTGGGGAACTGCACAAAGTAATGAAACCACCAAATAATTGGTGATTGTGGGGGAAGGGCTGTGACAGGCAGTTGGTTTAATGCTCCAGAAGGGCCAGAACTGACTTCTGGTCCTGAGAGTCTCTACACATACATATTTCTTGGGTCTAAATGAATAAAAGATATGTGGTCAATCATGCAAACAGACAAATTCAGAGCTTTTACTGAGGGCCACCAATATCTGTAGGCAAACCCTTTAGTTTGGTTCTAAAGACATCCTTTCTTTGACTACATCAGAAGTTAGTTTGGGTAACCAATGGATATCCTACAACAACCATTCACCAGCAAGTCATTTCTCACTCCAGTCTCTTTCTCCCTCTCTTTCCCCCCTTTCCCTCTACCCCTCAGCCCCACAGTAGGCATCTTCTTTCATATCCTAGGGCAGAGCTGTAAAATAAAGCAGCCCTAAATCAGATTGCAAGTTAAAAGGCTTTGGCTATCCTGCTAAAGGCATCATTCCTTCCAGACAGGCAGAATGACATGAAAGCAAAGCAAAGATTTTACTGCAAAGATAACTCACAAGTTGGCAGAAACCTGACAAAATGACAGTTTTATGGAAAACACATGCTGGTATTTATAACCTGTCATGTACAGTGAACAGAAACGCCCTCAACCCAAACAGCTCCAGGTTATTGCTGATGCTTTTCCTGAGCCTTCCGAAGGCATAAGAATGGAGGGATTGTAAGAGACTCTGATGTGAGCAGCCTCTTGCTCACCTGAAGAATTTTGTCAAACAGAACAAGAGCCAGCATAATGAATGCCCAAGATGACTAAAGTGTACTGAATGTCTCATTATAGCCACTTCTGCTGCGTTCTCCTCACATTCTCTCTGTGCCTCCACAGTGCAGCCTTGGCCAATTCTCACTGCCCACATTTTCCGTCCCTGGTACTAGTCTGCTGAATGCTTCTGGAGGAAATCTAAAGAATGTGCTGACTCTGACAATTACAAATGCACTCCTTCCTTCTTCAACTCCACACTTCTTGCCAGACAAAACCGTGCTATTCTCTCTCTCTGAATGTGTAATTTAGCACCCCAGCCATGTGACTCACTCCCCAAAACTTCCCATTCATCCTTGCGTCACTGAAAAAAAATTCTTCTCAACATTTTCCAAGAGAAAGATCTGGTGTGAATTTACATTGACCTTCATCTCCCCCACACATTTTCTAGGTGTGTCTGTACACCCTGCTAAGCCACCTTGCAAGTAAGTTACATGGTGTGGTTGTTCCCTCTGGCCTGTTCTGCCCCTCCTTCTTCCTTCAACCAGTTCTGATCTGTATTCCAGCTGCCTCTGCAGTGGAGTCTGCATTCTGCAATCTCTTGCTCCCTTACTGCATCAGCAAACAGTTTATCATTGACCCGCTCGCTGTGTGTTTAGGTTCTGTTTTTTATTTTGCTGGCTTCCATCAGAAAGTTTTCCTATCCCTTCACTCCCCCATGCATGCCACCACTTGCCTGTATGTCTGATAAAACTATATACCCTTTCATGCCCTTGTGTTTTTTTATTTGCACACTGCTGCCTTCCCCTGCTTACACTGCTTTTTTTGTTCATTTAGTCTCCCTCTTTCCCTTCCCCTCACTGAAGTAGATCTTGTTCTTGCTCAGTAATCCCCTCTGCAACTCTCCCACTCTCCAGGTAGTGGCTTGCATGACAGACAGCAACACCCAGGCCCACCAGTGATGCTGATGCTCACCATCCCACATGCCTTTGTTGCCTCACTCTGGGAAATCCCATTGAGCTCATGCTGCCAAGTGTTTCCCCATCCTGCAAACAGTTTTTCCGTTAGGATTGCCTTATCGCCCCTACAACCATAGCAGTCTACTTCCCATCCCTCAGCACTTGCACCCCTGGAGTACTACAACTCCAAAGAAGCTCTTTACTGAAAAACAATAGTGGATGGTAGCTTCTGTTACTGCCATAAAAGTTACTACTTTTCCTTTGGCAGTACTATTAGGCATAATTGAATGAGGGGCGCTAATGGGTTGGATACTGGCTGCAAATGGGAATTGCAAGGACCAAGCTACTGGCTTATGGAGTGGGAAACTATTACTGAGAAAACTGAGAAACTATAGAGTGGGGGCTTACAGGGAAAATGTTATGCTTCAACAGATGGTTATAGGGAAAGGATGCTTATAAAGTGTGAAGAAGCTATTCTACATTATTCTAACATAGGCTAATGGAAAAGGCACTTTTGCAGTTTTAAGTCTTGCTAAGTACTGTACAAATGTGGAAGGTCCAGTTCCATGGAGAGATGCTGACCAGATTTTTCTAGCATCCTCCCGAGTCATGATCTGGATGTTAGGTTCAAGACAAGTGGTATGGGCTTGTTAGCTTGCCCATCAATGGCAATGTGCTTTCAGCCCCTGGTCCTGATAGGTTGAGGTTATCCTGAAGAAGCATGTGTACCCTAACTCACAGATGTTGCACAGGATACAGCAGGCGATAATCACATCTGCTCCATGTTCTTCCCCTACATCAGAGGAAGTGCCACCATGCCTGTAAATGGCCAGAAGCACATTTTACAGGGTTTGGGTATGGTAGTGTGGCTATGGTAGCTGTTAAATTTTATCTGGCTGTCCTCAGAACCCGGTACAGTCCCATAAACTGCAGCTAATGTGCACTGAGAAGGTCTTGAGGATACCATTACTGTAGTTGGAGTACAGGGTGGTGACTGAACAATGTGCCCATGGCCAGCTAGTCTGCCAAAGGTGAGTTCTTGTTCTCAGCCCTCTGTGTAAATGCCCATAAACTTCCCTATAGAGTTCACAAGTGCTTAGAGTACCATGCTGTAAAAACATTTGTGGTTGTAAAACTCCTCACCCCACCTAGGAGGAGCTAAAATGCTCACATGTGAAGAATTGAAAATTGCCTGAGGGAAGACCAGTTCACAGAATCCCATGTTCTTTCTCTTGCCCCCACCTTTATGAAATCATCAGTGTAGACTAGTGCTTATTCAGAATGTGTACCATCTTTTTAAAAGCCTTGCATACAATATATTTCCCTAGTCTGAAAGAATTACTGAATGGGAGGCACCCTGCATTGGAAGTTGGAAAAAGTCCTAACTTTTTTTGTTTCTACCAATATGAATGTCTTCAATGCTATGTCTGAATGATGAACTATTGGTCTCACTTGCAAAGTTATGATTGCAAAAGTGGAAGAGGAGATGTGGAGAAGTGTCACAAAATACCATGTTGACCCACCTGTCCATATGCAGAATAGATCTCCACATCCCTTTGTACATGGGAGTGACCATGGATGGATGGATGGCACATTTGCCACCTCTACAACAGTGGAAGTAGCCAGGGCAGAGAGAGAGAGAGACAGGCATTGACATCCTCCGAAGATCACTGCAGCTTCTTGCACCAGCCTGAAAAGGCTCTTTACGTAGCCCTGCTTCACCCCCTTGTCTGCACTTGCTGCAGAACCAGTAGGGAATCCAGTGCAGGTGTCATGCAGCAGTGTTTAAAGACCTGGTACTGATTATTATGGTGACTGGTAAAGGCTTTTAGAACAATGCCAACTGCAGTGAAAATAAATGTTTCTTTTGCCATAGTTTCCCAGAAAGTATGAGTCAGCAGGGGAAGCAACCATGTCCTGTGGTCATTAAAGGACACCTAAACAAGTAGAAGGGGGCAAAGGCAGTGGTGTGGGAAACTGGCACTTAGCAGGGTGGTTAGGTGGGAAAACTGGTTCCATTAGCATTGCGAGTGAGGAGGCAGGGAAAGCGGGGTAACAGTGAAGCTGAAAAGTTATGCTTTCTGGCACGTAGGTCTTGGTTCACAGACCGATTACGGCGCTTGCTGTGCTGCAGCTACCTGCAAGGTCTAAGTCTACTTCTCCAAAAGTCAAACTATGGATGTGTCAAGATTGTAGATTATTTTGTTGGGAGTGTCACTGAGCAAAGGAGGAGGTACAGACAAAGAATTTGAAGAAACAGAAGTAAATGTCTTTGAGCTCTTCTTCTCACATACAGAGCCACAGAGAAAGCCCAGAAGTGGGCTACTGTAGTAGCATACAAATAGAAATAATAAGAAATACACACAAGGCACAGCATTCCAGCATACCACAAAAGGTTCAAATCCACCTCTGAACTTAAAGCTCTGTAATGCATTGACACTGGTAGGTGATCCTATGCTTCAAGTAAGTCATTATTCTCCTCTTAGCACTACAGGCATCCATGGTTCCAGAAATGAAAGTGAATCTTCCCAAGCATCCTCATTCAGTCCTCTGTACACCAATGAAATACCAAGGAAACAACCATGTTGCATTTTGCTGCTTTCAACTGTCCTTGAAAGCACACCTGACAAAACTTCTCTGTTAATTTTTATTTAGATAACAAGTGGAAAAGGAAGAACCATTCCTACATCTTGATTTTTAGATCTTCTCCCTCAGATAGTATTCCATGTATACTTACCATGCTCATGCAGCATGAGATTGTTATGAACTTCTCTCCTGTAGGGTTTTTAAAAATCCTAATGGGTTTTTTTCCTGGTAGTGCTGAATATTTTCCCTAAGCTTGCTGATAGCTCCTGCTTGTGCTTGGTGCTTTTCAAGCTACACAAGAATCCAGACTCAGAACTGAGTTTGCAATTACTGTGTGTGTGAGAGAGAGAGGAGTGTGTGTGTGCGATAACTACTCCCACCCTTGTTAATTCATCCTGGTGCATTTACACTTATGGCTAGCACACTGGAAAGTGGAATTCATTTAATTCTAACTACTTCTTGGCTAGAATGATGCTAGCAGAACTGCTGTTTTTCAAATGAAACATAATATACAGCGAAGTAGCTCTAAGGTGAAACCCTTACTATGTTGAAATTTTTTTATTTTTTTTTAGGTTGAAATTTTTTATCTAAATAATGGTTCTGGCTCACAGGTATCTCATATTTCTTATTCTCCCTGACCACCAATTTTGTCTCTTCATCTACAGCAAATATTGTAGTGCAGTATGGCACAGTCTTCTCCAACATGCTGCACTCTGGCTTATTCCATTGAATATGAATTATTACTCCAGATACTATGTCTGGATAGAAGAGGACTGTGGGAGTTGTACTCCAACACATCTGAAGAGCACTAGGTTGGGGAAGGCAAAAAGAGTTTTTAAAAATACATTATCATCACCATCAGGAATAAGGTTAGGCTTTGGCTGGTACTCACCAGATGAAAAAGCTTAAAGAAGTCTGTATTTGCATACAAAGAGTCTTCAACTTTCTGCAAAGCCTCCTGGGAAAGGGCACACATTGCACGATGTACAGCTTGAAAGCCACTTGGACTCCTGAAGATAATAAAGCGATTCAGCAAGGCCTGGCTGCATGCGATATCTTTCAAAGTCAAGTCTGGGACTCCAAAGGCAAACTGTAGGCAAGATACAAACCATACCTTTTTGAACACAGTGGACTGTCTTTTGCCTATTCAGTAAAAAGTTCAGTAAAATTTTTTACTTACAGAAATTAGAATTGGTAGTGATGAATAATAATTTCTTCCAAGGAACAACAAAAGCAATAGGCACTAAAGCAACCAAAATGACCTGATTCACACACTAGCCCATAGTTTATTTAAGCTATGGGTTGTTCAATTGTGGGTTGTCATGATGTATGAACCTAGATGCACTAACAAACCATGGTTTGGTAACCACAAACTACCGAGAAAGAGAACTCATGCTTTGTTGTTGGGTTGTGATCGCTAGATTGCGTAAATCATGGCATGTCCTTATGTGTGAAGCCAGAACCATGAGTTGTCCTGGGTTGTTTTGCTAGGCTACAGGAGGAACAGGCAAGAATGAAAAAAACAAAAACTGGGTACTCTAAATGCCAGCACTAAGGTACTAAAAAGATATTTGGGATATAATGGGGGAGAGGGCAATGGAATAAAGAAACACCAGGGAGAAGGGTGAAAATAAGGTGAAGATTGATTGTCTGCCAGATAAATTCTAAGTGGAGTGACAAACCATGGTTAAGCCATGGGTTAAATAAAACATGGGTTGTCATCACGTACAAACTAGATCAATGAGAGCACTACCAGAGCAGACCCAATGGGCCACCCAATCCTATAACCTGTTCGTAATTGTGCACATTCCAGCAAACTGGAGGATACATTCTGCAACTTCTGTTTGACACAGGATAAACTATTTTTGGTTGCGTTTATCTGGTTAGACTTCCTTTTTGAATTCAGAACTTTTTCTGAAAGTATGAAAAAAAATATAGTTCCCTTGCAGAGCTTTACAAACATAGGTCTGTAGCACATTTTCTTCTGAGCCAAGGGAAAGCTGGGACCAGCTGCTGCCCCTTTCCTGAAATCAAGTGAAGCAGTTATCTCAAACACCTACTTCCTGAGTTGGAGAACAGTGCTGTATGTGCCATGAGGCCTATACTGCACCTCCAAAGCTACCCTGCTGCACTCAGGTGTGCTAGGGAATGATGTTGTATTGAACTAAAGCTCAACTGCCAGCTGGATCAGAGTTAGTGGATGGAAGATGGGGTGCAGCCTTACATTTTGCTTGAGATAGCAGTGCGTCTTGGGCAAGCCCTGTTAATTGTAATCAAATGGGAATGGAAAGGGGGAGGTAGAAGTGGATATTATTCATCTGTCTGGATGAATTTGTATGCATTTGTATTTCTGTGTGTCTATACTTTGCCTGGTATGCTGGGCAATAAAAATTCATGGAAAGTGCTATTCTGAATACAGGTGGTAAGGAAAAAAAAGGTGTGAACTGATGCCTCAAAGACATCAGGTGGAGAGATATGAGTCATGAATGAATGGTTAAACCTTTTTGCTAGACTGAAAATCAAGCAGGAATGGATTGCCTTAGTGTGAGAACTGAGCTCTTGCCAAGTTTTATGCAAATAAGCTCCATGCCTGATGAGTAGCACCTTTAAAAGAATGTTCAAAAGAAAAGACAACTATCTGGCTCTATGGTACTACTTTCCCATCCTTGGGAAAGAGGCAAGAAAGGTGAAATGGACAAAGGATTTGAAATATATATAATCTGTTGCTTTTTCATTTTAAAGTATCTAAAGATTTCTTGTTCCTAGACTTAGTAGGAGGAGCAACCTAGGCAGAGTGACACTATTAAACCATGCAGAATGATAGAGCATGTAGTCCTCCAGCAGAGTGAGACACATTCAGCCTTTGAATATGGCTTAGTGGAGGGGGCAGAAAAACAGATATGTGTGACATTGGACAGCTTCAGCCAGTTTTTTGCAACAGCTTCTGAGCTGGTACAGTTTATTTAAGTGATTAGAACCAGCAGAACCCTTACATGACAGAGATACAGAATTGGACATAGAAATTACTGCTTACAACAGTGTCATCAAGGTTACTGTAAGTAGAATTATTACCAGAAACACAGTAACAAATGGTGCACCAGTTAGAAAGTGGAAATTGTTTTTGTTGTTGTTTTGTTAAAAACAAACAATTTGTTTTTAGTTGGGCCATCTTTTTACTCATATCCACTAATTTACATGGGGACAGGCTGATGAAATCATAAATCAATGTATGAAATGGCAAAAGCTTAGATTTAGTACAGCTTTAACTGTACCAATAACAAACATAGGGTGATGTAAATAACTTCAGTACTTCAACAGCATAGCAAATATGGAGAATGTGATACAGACTAAATAATTCACTGTCCTGAGACTCTTACCTTTTGTTAAACAAAGTAAAGAAACGCAGTTCTAAATCCTTATGGAGGGAAAGATCTTTTTGAAAGACTGTAAACAATACCTGCAGACTATCCAGAAGATTGTAAGCAATGCCTACTGATAATTACCAGAAGTCAAAGGAATGACAGAAAAAGATTAATTAGTGGTTGAGCATACCAGGTCAGTGTCCTGACCAGATCCATGCCTCTCCTCTAGGATTCCTCCCCCTAGGACACATGTGGAGAACCTCATATGGTCCACATCTAGCTCTCCTTGCATTCCAAATCAGCTCTCTGGAGTTCTCTAGATGAACTGTTCCCCAGTTGTTGATGGGTAGTTTTCGGGTTTTGCACTTTCACCCTCGTTCTAGAAGGTTGACATGCTTCTCTTAAAGCTTAATTACTGACAGTAAGAAATTTAAGCTATAATACAGTATTTTTGCCTCTGCTTCTCTCGCCTTTGTCTCTGTTCACCACTTTTCCTTGCAGCCCCTAAGAACATGTCTGAAATTGAAAGCTGGGAAACCAACAAACAGTAGTCAGTGGAAAGGGAAAAAGGAAAAGTGGGGCTGGCTTCCTGGAGAACCCTGCAGGATTACATCGGAACCCAGATGGATTGGATTTGGCCCACAGGCCTAAGGTTCAACACTCCTAGTCTTAGACTCTAAGCTTTGCATGGTGGATGGACTCCAAAACTAGACAAGAATATCAGAAACTTTGTGTTTAAGATATAATAATGAAAGCATGATGGGCTCCTCAGCTTACAAAAACTAATCACTAGTCTTGCAGAAGTCATTTCTAGGCAGAACTTTCATAAAACAGAGCCCGAATTCAGAGAATGACCCCGAAGAGCAAAATGTTAGAAAAATATTAAACCTCCTGGTATATTTCTGGCTGCAGCCAATCTTCCTGGAGATTTTGCTGTGAGTCAGCAGCAGCCCGTTATCTCCCGTGCAACCTGAAAGCAGCAGTTGGGAAACAAATTCCAGTAATTTTATCAGCATGCCATTGTTCAACAAGTCCTTTCGAAGGGAGGAACAAAATATTTTCTCAGTTAGTTGGCCTCTAGATTTGTTTTAGCTTTCATGTGCGAGAGTGTGTCATTTCCTGCGCTCCCAGGGTGCTTATAAGGTCAGCACCTCAGCTGTGTCCAGTCTTTTGCCAAAAATTCAAATGCTTATAAATGAGCCTTTCTTTAACCAGGACTCTCTTTTTCATTCTCTCTTCAGAATGCCATTTCAGGGGAAACAGGATATATGATTAACAGTAGCAAAGAAGCATCAAAGCATCCTATGGGAATGACATCCGTTCCCATATAGTAACTTTGTACTTAAGGTCTACTGGCGACAGGATATTGCTTTGCAGCTAGAAATTTTCGCACAAACATATACGTTCCCAGACAAAATCCCAACATATGCTGGGTGGGGGAAGCAGTCTAAGAAATAGATTTCTGAATGCAGGTGACTGCATGTTCCTTGTTATGATGCATTGGCTTTAACCATTAAAGCCCTAAACACCTTATGACTTAGTTAAGGGGGCACCCATCTCACTAGAAACTTTTCTAGGTATCAAGATCTGCAGGAGAAGCCCTCTTGAGGACACCATCGCTTACCAAGACCCCTCAATGAGCTGATCATTGTTGTTTAATGGCAGGAGAGGTAGATGAATGGGAAGCAGTATGTTTGTTCATGCAGGAACCTATGGGTTGTTTAAACCATAGGTTGATATTACATGAAAACCAATCTTTCTTGGCCTTTAGAAAGGGTGTGAAGAAGCATCTCTTCAATCCTTGTAGAATATGTCATTTCAATATTTTGAATGCTCTGGTTTTAAGGTTTTATTGTTGTATTTAAGGTTTTTAGCATATATCATGGTATATAAAGTATGGCAATGGTATATAAATTATGGCATACAAATTATTATGATCTGTCTTCATTATCACCAGGTATTAATGCTCCTCATCCTCCCTCATGGCTACCATGTGCTTGCTTAATAAACAAGAGCAATTTTATGTAAGCCAGCTAGAAATCCTGACTGGATAGAAGACAGGATAGAAATGGTTTAAAACAAACAAACAAACAAACAGACAAACAAACAAGTAACATCACCACTGTTGTTTGAGCCACAGTGGAAGACAAGTGAACAAGCAGGTTATAATAGTGAAAACAGCAACTCCAGAGGGCGGTGGTCAACAGACACTTGGCAGGCACTTGACAATGCCTACCCTTAATGCTGGCCCTGAATAATACGGCACTGATCATAGAAAACCAGGAACCAGGAAAAACTTTCCTTGTGAGATCCAACAAGCCATTCCTCCATCCTGCCTGCAGAGTACTGTGCGGTCCATGAACAATTTTATTATTGCATAATTGGTTGATAAGCTCTAAGAATAACAGTAAGGAGATTGGCAGGGTCTACAACCCTGGATAAGCAATCAGAGGGTCACTTTGGCAAGAGAGTGGTTGTGGGTTAATCTGTACTCTATATGAATAGAATGGTCTGGTTGCTTGGTTTTTGCTGTAACAACTGATGACTGAGGCCTCTCTCCCACCCTTTGCCTTCACTATTCAGGTGCTGAATACAGTTTGGTTCTTACCCAAGTAAGAGCACCAAATTTGGATGAGAGCTCTTACAGGCCTGTGTGACCAGATCAACAGTTTTTAGTTGAGACTCAACTGCGATTTTCTCAGAAGTGTGTTAAAAGTGCACATGCTGGCATCTCAGTGATTTTCAACACCCAGTACAAGATGACCAGAGGGGGTCCAATCACAGTGTCTCAACAGCAGACTCTCTTTGTCAGGTGGGCTAACCATGCAGGGCTTTGTTAGAAAGAAACTGGAATTTACTTTATGGGAACAACTTATGCTGGTCAAGACCACTAACTTTCACGTTGCATGGAACATTTCTTTCCCAGGCAGGAAAACGCTTTCTTCCATGCAATTCAAAGAACTGTCAGCAAGTTTCCTACAGCTTTGGTCAGAACCTGATTGGTTAAACAATCTAGCAATAATCGCACAAGCCACCTACAATTTGCCAAAAACAAAACGAGTGAAAAGTAAGTTCATTAATTCCATCTCTTGCAGACCATAAACTGCCACTCACATTTCCCACATTTGGGTATTTTATAGCAATAAACAAATAAATAAATAAATAGGAATTGTGCCATTCAGCCCAAATTCTCCTCTTCCTTCCGCACTCTCACGCAGCCGAAAGGCTTCAGGTTCACGTGATCTGATTCAGCAGAACTCATTCATAAGCGTGCCATTCCTCTCACAGCTCTCCAGGTCACAAGCACAGAAGTGGCAACAATAGCTCAGACTGAGTCATACTCAAAACATCTATGAGGGGATGCTGTTTTAAGAGTAATCTGGTTTACAATTTTCCACTAAAGCAGTTTTTTTAAAAAAGCTATTATTCGTAGAGAATTCAAGACAGGAGATCTTTCTTTTAAAGGGCCAATCTATTCACCCAAGACAATGGGCTATCAATGGCCCTTCCAGCTTTGGTCTTGCTGACATCAAGAGCAGTGCATTTAACAGTTTTGGTCACATCCATGTTTGTATCAAGATAAATTGACACATAGGCAAGCCAAAAAAAAAAAGAATTCAAGTTAGGTCTAGTCATGGATGTGAATTACCAGGCATCCCATTGCTATTTCAGCTCAGGATTTTGCGCTCCAAAGCAATATTGTTTGGAGATCAAACAGTTGTCTAAATCTGCTTCAGGAAGTATACTAAAGCATGATTTGTTTTCTGATTAATGGTAAAGTTTGATTAATGTTCAAAGTTTGATTAATACACAGCAAACCAAACTGTGGTCAGGCTCATATATCATGCTAAGACATGATACAAATAAGGTGCAGTGCATTGGTTGTGCATGGAATGACCCATGGCAGCTTAACTATCAGATTTCCCATGGCTTGTTCTCCTTCTCCTCCCAGCTGCCTCTAACCTGTATCCTGGTGTCCTTCATAGCAGAAGGTATCTTGTACGCCTTTCCTTATTCTGATTGCTACCTGTTTCGATTCTCAGCCAGTTTTTTTTTCTTCAGATCCTCAAAAAAGAGCAATTTAGGGTTGCATTTTAATGGCCCCTGAAAATCAGAACTTTCATAACTGTGTCCTTAATCTGTTAAATAATTTTGTTCTGTTTCATTGAGTTTTGAATGCTATATATTGCCTCGTGTAGCTTTGGACAGAGGCAAATGCTATAAGTGCACGAGCATGTGCATATAGACACACAGGATAGCCCAAATACAGCTTGCTACAATATTTCATCAACCCACCTGTTCAGGCCGCACTTGTGCATTAATCAGGTGGTAAACCACCGTATCTGGAAGGCCTACATCTTCAAGCAGAAACTTAGTTAGATTCTCCTCATCTTTTAAGATATCCTGGATTCGTATGCCTCTTCCTGGATAAAACAAAAATGACAAGATAGCCATTAAGAGCTAGTGTGCCATGCTGGCTTGAAACCAACCATCACAGTGGTGAGCTGGAACCAAAAATCACTTGACAGTTTCAAGCAAGTCACTACTGCTGACCAACATCCCACCCTTCTTTTAAGATGGCAATAATAATACTCTCCTGCCGCACTGGACTATTGGAAGCAGTGTGGAATCATGTGTGCCAAGAGCTTTGAGCACTAAAACATGGATATAAAAACTGTTAGGTGTTCCTTTGGAAAGAAGCTGGAGTATGCAGGCCCACCATGGCCTAGGAACAGATAAAATCTTAAGACAGGCATAACTTTCCTGATCAGCCAAGGCATGGGTAAGTGTAATACTCTCTAAAGAGCAGATGCATTGAACTGCATTGGATTAGTGGCCAGCTTCATCACTGTCTATTTGACTTAGGATAAACTTTTCAGTGTTTCCCATTATTGTGAAGCTTCTTCCCACAAAATGTGCATGTAGAATTCCACTTAAATGTTTTAAACAAGTCTTGATGTCATGCTTCTTTCAATCTACTTTTAATTGTTGATGCTAATGTTCTTGTGCTTTAAATCTATGGTGACCTATATTTATCTTTCCTGATCTAGACCAGGATGCTTTTGTACTGCTATTCTAGTTCAGTGGGTGTAGTTTGGTGATTTTAAACCATGGACTTGATGATCATATAAAGAGAGAAAATATGCTTTAGAAAGTCATCTGCATTAATAAAGCTGTGTAGCACATGGCTAATATTTCTCTTTGTCCTCCAACTGCCATTCCAACTTTTAAAACTATAAAATTAGTTAAGGATGGCATCAACAGAATGATATTCTCCTGTCCTCAATTATACTCCAGAGATAAAGAAAACTTGAGATAATCAGCAGTGGATTTTTGTGTGGAAGGATTACAGGCTCGTGTCAGTTCTCAATTCAAAACAAATTCCTTGGGACAGAATACTTTAATTCTAACTGCATGTCTTCTGCACCAGGCAAGCTTGTAACCCAGCTGGGTTTTAGTGAAAGAAAAGAAAGTAGATCCTGCAAGCCCATAGTCTTTCCAATCCTTTGTTGTCCAATGCAAACAGAGAGCACCAGCCTACCTTGACATTGGCAAGGGAAGGCTGCATTAATTAATTAATTTAAACTATTTCTTGGCTGACTTCCAGGACAGAACCCCTCCCAGGATAACATATGACAATAAAACAAATAAACCTGATACCACATTAAAAATGAGAAAAACACAGTAAAACAGTAAGAGAACAATAAACGTGTAATAATAAATAGTGACAGCAGCAATCATATCAGGAGAAAGCCAAAGCAAAAGGCCTTCTTGAAATCCTACAATGATGATGATGATGATGATGATGATGATGATGATGATTATAACATTTCTATGCCGCCCCTTGCCGATGGATGGAGCAATGCATCTCCAGGAAGGACCAGAATCACTTTTTATAACATTTCTATGCCGCCCCTTGCCGATGGATGGAGCAATGCATCTCCAGGAAGGACCAGAATCACTTTTAAACTATGTCTCCCAAGCCAATCTAGATAAACAATCCAGAAGGATACCATAGACAAAACTGCAGTAAGGTCCAAAAGAACCAAGAGGGTTTTACTCTGCATATCCATTCCTTAGTATAGGTCATCAACCAGGCAACCAAGATTATTCATGTTCCATAACCAAGGCTAAAACCTGATTGGAATGGATCTAAACAATCAGAATCGTTTAACACCACTTGGAATTTTTTCTCACATAGAGTTTATCACTTGGGAGATACAAGTACCCAGCAAGCTCTTGCAGATTGTACAAGCCAGGATGGACTAGATCTGAAAGGCAAGCAGTAGGTCTCAATCCTCCAAGTAATTTGCCTGCATCTCCAAGCTGCATGAGTGAAAATATATCCATAGGATGACTGGATGGTTCACAAGCCCTATCAAACTCAGTCAAACTAGAGGTATACAAGTCAGCAAGAATATGAGTGACTTTTGCAAAGTGTCCAGCAAATTGCTTACAGCAGCCTTTGAGGTTTCATATTGGGTTCTAAAACTTCCACCAGGAAGAACTCCGCTGGATGATATGCAGCAGATGCAATGGTGATGGTGAAGCAGATTTTTTTTGCAGGTATCACTGCTACAGCATTAGATTGCAAATGGATTCTTACCTGTATTTAAAGTATTTCTTATGAGTATTTCACCATTTGTGCTTTGGTCATCAACACATTCATTTCATCAAACTCATTTCCTCAGAATACCAAGGAACTGACACAGTTCTACAATTAGGTCAAAGATGCTTGGGTGTGAACATATTGATGGCCTAGGTCATCTCTTCATTCCAGATTTACAGTGCCTAATTATGAATCTTTCCAACAGAGGAAATGTATCACACACACACACACACACACACACACACACAAAGATTAAATGGAGAGTGATTTGAATAAAATTTACCTGTACTAACTTATATGTATAGATGTAAATTTAGGCATACTAATTAAAATTTAAATAGAAATAGAGTATAAACCACCACAATGTGGAAGACTATGACTAGGGAATGGTTTGTTCAGTTCTCCCCCCGCCCCCTGCTCTGAAAGTTAATGGGCAAAAGTTCTTATGGTTCTTTTTTATTAATCTGGAATTGGGCAGGACAGGACAGACTTTCCAACAGAGGACTCAAGCAAAATATGGTCCTCTGGCCGCCTTGAAACAAGGGACCGCCCTCTGTAACTCGTACATGTTCTCTGGGTTGCATGCATGTTAGAATCGCTGCATGGAACAAAATTGCTGCTGGTAGGTTTTGGTTTTCCATTAAGGAGGGAGAATGAAGATAGAATAAGTTTAGAAGCAGAAGGCATACTCAGAAAGTTTGGGAAACACAGTTCTAAAAGAAGTGCTTTCATTTCAAAACAAACAGCATTTAAGAGTTTTTTAAAGGCACTTGAGTGTGAAATGGCAGCTGTATTACACATTACACAAGAGACTTGGCATGTGAACCACACTTGTTTATTTTTCCGAATGTTGAAAGGGCTTGGCATGCTCATAAAATGCAGACCTGGGATTTCAAAGAGTAGAGGAAAGTTCTAAAGGCCTGGAGTGTGGCCCTGGAACTGTGAGCTTCAAAGCTCTTGAGTATGTTGTTAGTGTGTCTGTATATATGTGAGCCACTTACTATTCGGATTTTTTAAAAGTTCATCTCCTAAAGACAGTATCAATTGCTTTAGTTCCTGTATTATAGGGAGTCCTGAATCTCTTCAATTATTTTCTCATCATCAGGGATGGATTAATAATTATGCTGAATAAACCACAGCATAGACCTCTCTTCAATCAAACTAGTATATCTGCTGTGGTCTAATTATTCATATGCTTGCCTGTGGCTGCTCCTTGCAAACCTTTTGAATTTTCCAGCTTAGAACATTGCATCTGCTTCCTCATCGGTCAAGAAAAAGTGGCCCTAATCTCCAACAGAATTGTGTATGAATAAGCATTCCTTCATTTTCATCACTTGATATTTGCAGTGTCAAGTGGCAGCATATGTATGTTGCACAACCTTCACAAATCAGCTACCACAGACAGAGCTTTCCTATCACCGCTCAACAGAAACAGTTCATATGTTGGACTTGCGATAATGCGAAAAAGTATTGGATTAAAATACATAAATGGCTTGAGGAAATGTTACAAAACTCCTTAGCTTTTAAACCTGAAGTCTTCTTATTAGGCATTATACCTGTTGATATTAGTCAACAAGAAATGTACTTGATTTTACATGTAATTGCTGCAGCAAGGATTGCATTTGCTCAATACTGGTAAAGTGAAGAACCACCCACCGATGAACTCATCCTAAAAAAGATCTTGGACTGTGCAGAAATGGATAGATTGACTTTGTCATTGAAGGAGAAAGAAGATGCTGATTTCTATCAAACTTGGGACTCTTTTTATTATTGGCTAGAGAAATGGGACTTTGTATAGATTTAAATCTGTTTCTAAGTTATCATAAATGGAAAAAAATGTGGGGGCTGACCCAGCAGGTCCGATGTTTCTGATGATTGATGTTGTTTTTAGTTTTTCTTTGTTTTAGGGTTATAATTTTGAATAAAACTTGCTATAAAAAAAGAAACAGATCATATGTTCATGTGCAAGTGAGGGTGTAGAGGAGGGAAATGTGCGTGTGGCAGGTGGCACAGCTCAGTGACTTTTTCAAAAGAAGGGTGCTGATGTCATCTGCCTCAGCACCAGTATAATTGATGCACTTTCCTTGGTCTGACAAGTGAAAGGGGTGATGATAAACCAGTACTTGTGACAGAGTCACATGCTAATCAGTCATGGACCTTTGAGAGTCCAGCAATAACTAGAGGGCTATCCCTGCTGTAAGTTGTGGAGTCAACTAATCTCTGTTGCAGGCCACAGTTTAGACATGAGTTCACATTGGGTTGTTCTGTATTCTGGTGCTTTCTTGTAGGCTGCCAAGTTGAAAAGGATGCAGAAGCAGAAATCTGAGTAGGATTGTAGCCAGAGCTGGATGGTGTGATGGGGCCAATGAAGGGTAAATTTTAGAAAGGAAAGGATGAACAAGGATGTGGCTTCACAGATGAGAAAAAGGTAGGGAAATAGATACGAAACACACAGCAGTGAGTATGGAAACAATCAAAGGCCTAAACTACATGCTATTTTATATATGTAGTATACAGGTGATCCTAGCTTTTGTTTTACTTCAAAGTAAAAATTCAGATAGAAACTGCTGTGTCCATGCAGGGGAGATTTAACCTTCCTCTCAACTACTTCCCCCCATATATTCATTCTTCCCTGAGTTGGGTCTTAGAACCCTACCATCCCATGGTTGTCCTGATCCAGACTGGGACCCTGTACTCTGAGGCAAAAAAGAAAGGGACAATCAACTGCACATAACACATTTAACATATTGTGTTTAGCCCAAAGGCCCTTGATGCAAGCAAGGCTTCCAAGACAACACCAGGAAAACTAAAACCTGGCTGTCACACAGATGAAAAGTATTTGTATGAGATTTAAGTGGATAATATATAACTGTCAGTTAAGTTCAGTGGAAGGAAAATATTAGGCACTTTTAAAAAGAAAGACATCAGAACTGATAATTACCTGCAATCCTTTCAGGATTCGTCCTCATGGTTTCCATAAACTGGGTGATGGTGCGTAATTCTTCCCAGAGTTTGACTAGTTCTGTTTCATGGCTTTCCAGCAGTAGTTCTTGAGCATCTTGGTACACTCTTGCTAAACTGAAAAATGTGTGTGTGGAGGGGGGCAGGGAGAAATACTGGTTAGCATTTGGCACTGTATTTTCTAAAATGGCTTTCCTCAGCTGCTGTTTCTCTGAGACATTGGGAGGTACAATCCTATGGATGTTTACTAGCATTCCCTAGTCAACAACTCCCATGTTGACTAGGGAATGCTAGGAGCTGTAGGCCCTTTTCTGTCTAAACATGCAGAGGTTTACATCCTACATGAAGCAGCCAGTCAGCCTAGGGCAGCAAGAAGTAAGTGCTGCTGCTGCTGCTGCTGCTGCTAAGGTACTGAATCAGGAAGATAAGAACGATTGGAGGGGCTTCAGGAGGGCAATTGTCTTTAGCTAGAGTAGCCACATACATGTCACCCCACAAAAAGGGATATGCATCACCAAAAAGAGAATAAAAGAGGCTACCATTTGCATAATATTTACATATGCAAATTTACATGTATAAGTGCTAATGTAGGCGTAATTACTTTACACAGAAATGCAACACTTCTCACTGTAGTGGGAAAGGCTGACTAAATGTCTTGTGTGCCTAATGCTCAGTCAGTTGTCCGGTTGCTAACTGCTGGTGGGTGACTTCAAGGACCTGCTTTGCTGTCCTTCCTTGCAGTGCTTTGACTTTAAAACAGACTTGAAGTGGACACCTTCAAATACAGTACTGCCCTCTGCCCACTCCACAGAATAGACTGTCCTCTGTAAATTAGGATACCTGATCACCATACAATTTGCCACCTAAGGTGGTTGCCTCATTTTGCCTAATAGTAAGGCTGACCCTGTGCTTAGCCATAATTAGGAGTCTGGAAATCTTTCCCCCTCTCTCTCCCACACAAATCTCCCACCTTCTATTTAAACATCATCAGTAGTGTTACATCATTAGCAAAGCTAGCATTAACTATGGCCAGCTTTAAGCCAGTTGCAAGCAAGGTGTGATGTTGGTTACAGGGCTCAATTAAAGACTTACTTTCTACTTTAGTACAGACGTAATGCCTCACAATAAATAATAGTGGCAAAAATGAGATGATAGGGATAATTATTGCTGGAGAAGGGAAGACCCCACTAGCAATTCCTGCTTTCTAAAACAACTTGAGACAAAGCACTGTTCTGCTCAGCTCACACCAGAAAAGATTCTGCAGTGGCAGCTGCCAACATCACTAAAAATATATGTGTTTAAAAGAACTGGGGCAACACAATATCTGGGCTTCATATACTATCTGTGTAGATTTTGAACCATCACTGGATTCATGAAAATCAAAAGCTGCTATTACCCTACCCAGCTTTGTTTTGATGCTATAGGATTTCCTTCCCCAATCTGCTGCCCACTAGATGCGCTGGACTGCAATTACCATCATCCCCAGTTAGCATGGTGAGAATTGGAGTGTTACATATTTAGAAGCCATAACTTTGGTGAAAGCTGGTACAAGGCCTTCCATTTCACCCCAGTCTTTGACAACATTGTTTAATTAGAAATTGTTCAAAAGGCAAGGGAGCATCTGAAAAACAACAAATACCTTATGTAATATTATAAAGATAAAAACTACTTTCTGAAAAAGAGCCCCTATATCATCAGCTGTCTCTTCCTCTCCTTGTCCCCGAAGCACCACCTCCAAGATCACTGTTGGACCTTGGTGCTGCAGCCAGTGTGATGCTCTCTGAATTTGGATGCTCCGAATTCAAAGTCCCAACTCCAAGCTCAGAATGAGTCCCTGAGTTTGTCGCTGGAACTCTGAATTATCCTGTGGCTGCCTAAACTCTGCCTGACACACATCCCACACAAGTTCCGCCATTTTTGCACCTCACAGAATTGACCCACTGCCTGGGCTTTTGGGTGCTGTTTTCATGCAGCCATGTTCACAAAAAGGAAGTGAACTCCTATAACACAGCAGCCCTATTTTCTTCTTTCCCAAGATGCAAGAAGCACTGTTTGCTTACATGGAATTATTATAGTTGGACACAATACCAGGAGACTCTCCGCGGGTAGGACTTCTGAAACAAGGATTGTTCATGGTACAGAAGATGCCCTGTAACCATGGCAGGGCTCCTGCAGAGGGCATGGCTTTGTTTGGGAAGTGACCTTGATAGGAGAAACAAAAAGCAAACAATCAAACATTGGCATCAGTAACTCAAACCACTTCAGATGAGGACAGATCACTTGTAGAAGGCGCTTTATCAGAGAAAAGAGTTACTTGGCAACATGAGGCCATCACTATATCCACAGGCTAGGTTTCTAACTTAAGGCTGATTCACACAACTAGTTTGGTGGATTAGCTTGCTTCCCGCATGTCAAAAGCTAGCATGACAAAGCAAATGGTTTTAACACAGATTTCTCATCCACATCGTGCTTTTCCTACATATTTGAATGTATTCTAACACACAATGTATTCTAACACTAATCCCTTTAATTTCACTGGGCACATAGTTAAGGTCAACAGTGAATGATTTGTAGTGCTGAAGTTAATTTTAGGGGAAGAACTATCTCAGTCCTTCTAAAGTATATTTTATTGCAACTATATTTTTGTTTAACAAGTTAGAGATTTTGATAGATTTAGGAACTTCAGACTGGATGGGTATAGATGAAGGAGCGCTTACATCCATATTTGCCCAGTCGCCCCCTGAGATCGGCGGGAGAGGCCCTTCTCCGGGAGCCCTCCGTGAGAGAAATTAGGAGGGTGGCTACTCGGAGAAGGGCTTTCTCAGCGGTGGCGCCTAAGTTATGGAATGCGCTCCCCAGAGAGGTCCGCCTGGCGCCGTCGTTATTTGTTTTTCGGCGCCAGGCTAAGACCTTTTTATTTAAGCAACATTTTAAGTGCTAAATACAATTGAATTTTATCTGGCCAGGGCGGCTTATTTTATAATGTGAGTTTTAATCAAGATTATTTTATATGGATTTTAACTTGTTTTATCTATGTTGTAAGCCGCCCCGAGGCTTCGGCGAATGGGGCGGCATAAAAATGTTTTAATAAATAAATAAATAAATAAAAGTATTGAATTTGCTAAGGTGAACTTTAACATGAATTCCTTAAATTTAGGAGTGAAATGTAAGCTTTGAGTTATTAAAAGTTATTTGGTAACATTGAAATTCAAAAGTGAAATATGAAAAATAAATTAAAATACATAACCATACATTTGAAATAAGTGCAAAATTTTATTTCAGCTCTAATGGCTTTGCAATTCCCAGCTTTGGTCATAGTAAAGTTAGAGGCCAAAATAAGGTCAGTAATAAAATCATAATGTCAGAGCAGTTCAAGCAGTTCACATCATATGGATATCAACTTTCATAAACAGCAGTACATGATGAAAAATCCAGACCAATATTTCTTCCTGTTTAATAAAAGAAACAAGGTTGTATTGCCAATGTTTTCAGTAGAAATAGCATTTGTATCTTTTGGTATATGACAAGAAACTCTTAGAAGGAACAAGAGCATATGGTGATGAGGCTAGAACTGCAAGGGTAGATTAAATGAGCAGGAGAAGCCAGGTGCAGGAGTAAAGGACAAAACAAATTACAAAACTTTATCTACTAGCACAACATTATGGGAATTACAGAAAAAGATATAATCCACTTTGATCAATAAAGCCCAATATGGTAAAATTATATAATTGCTATCATATGCAGTACCAGACTTTCTACTAAACGTTTGGTGTAAGAATCTAACTACATGTTAATGGAAGGTTCATAGGTTTCCATTAATTTATATTTCCTCACTAACAAATAGCTGGAGGAAGAAACACACCATGAACTACGATGTCATAATATTAACCTTTTCACAAATCCCACATGCAGCAGCCAGTGATGGAGAGCGGGGATAAGGAAAGAACCGTTCTGTGGTAGCTTTGCACTGCCGAAATTAGGTTCCATCAGGAGTTCATCCGGAAGACCCACTGTTGTCACTGGCCTTCTTATAAACTGAATGTGGCAGGTTTTATTGCTGTTATGTTTTTATAGTGTTTTTTACTACTTTATTGAACATTTATTGCTTTTCTCTGTTTTTATATATGTTTGCATTTTTATCTTACACCCTGCCTTGAGAAGTTTATATCTTTATTGGTAGCCTAAAATAATCTGAAGTAACTAAAAAATATTATCCTGATAGTATCACACATGCTTTCGATCTGGGGTACTTTTTCACATTACAGATGATGTGCTTACATTCATGTTGGCGATAGACTGGGTTAACACTTCTCAGCCAGACTAGGACAAGAAATAAAGACAAAGGCCATAAAAGTTCAATCAGAAGACGAAGCTGAAAAGGAAAAAGCCGGATGCATTATTTAAACATTCAGTCAGGAAGTCCATATGATAAAGCAGAAGCCTGCCATCCTAGTATATAAAAATGCTTAAAATTAAACACCAAAGCAAGGAGTAACAACTAGGTCACCTCCAGATGTTTTGGCCTACTACTCCAATAAGCCCCAGACATCATGGCCAATGATCAGGATTCCTTGACTGATTTTATATTGCACACTTCTATCCCAGTAAGGCAGTTAATAATACAAACCTTAAATTCTTAAAATACAAAGAAAAAATACTTAAAACACATCATAAAAGCATAAAAATATAACAGTAAAATAACTAAGCCCTGCATCAAATTAAACTCCTTAAGCAGCTGGCTAATTTATAAGCCAAAAGTCTGTTTGAATAAAAATATCCCCTTTTCCAGTTCCACTGACATGACTGTTTTCATGAGTGTAAGGACAGATCTGGAATCAACGTCTATTAACAGTATACTCAGCAGTAGAATGATAAAACTGAGGCTGTCATTTGAAGCTTTTGGCACATCATGAGAAGGCAAAACTCCCTGGAGAAGACAATCATACTAGGAAAAGTCAAAGGCAGAAAAAGAAAAGGAAGATCAAACAAGAGATGGATTGACTCTATAAAGGAATCCACAGCCTTGAATTTACAAGAGCTGAGCAGGGCTGTCATGGAGGGCTTTTATCAAAAGTCAGAGATGACTTGATAGCACATAAGAACAACAATAACATTAAGCCAGTGTTGGTCACAATCTGTCATGGTGGATATGCGAAAAATCCATTTTGGGGGTAGGAATCCATTAGATTTCCTGGGCTCAGCTCCCTGAACTCCAGTCTGCCTTGTTGCATCCATGAGTCTGAGTTCTTGGTGAATTTGCACGGTGCTCATCAGGAATCAAGCTCAGTGTGACCGCAGGGCTCCTCTTCCATGTCACATGCCTTTGTGCTGCACACGATGTGGAAAGAGGTTGCCAGTTTTGTTCTGCGAGTGTGCATGGACTTCCTCTTGGCTCAGCTCACTTTCTAAGCCAAGGACAGGCATGACAGGAAATCTATTAATGCTAGAGAGATGCATTCCATAGAACGTTCTGCAATCCTAATTTAGACGTGACGTTAATTGCATGAATGCAATTATCATTCACCCTTTTTATTGCGGAAATAGCAGCCATGGGAAAGCCTGGGAAATCTCTGAGTCAGGGACACCCCCTATTTCAAATGCAGACACTGACCAGACTGAAAATTTAATCTCTGTTTCCTTGCTGGCATCTTGCAGGAGCCAGAGTAGCTTATGGCCTGTGGGACAGGTGGTGTGGTACATGCAAATGCACTCATGCACACATGTGCACACACACACACAGAGTTCTGTCTTCTGACACCTTGCTGCTTCTTCCCACCACCTGAATCAGCTGTGTTACTGTGTATAATATCTGAAGTGGCTCTTAGACCCTTAAACATTTTTCTGTTTAAATTCAACTTTCATCTGCTTTGTATTTGAGCAGAAACCTGCGTTTGTTCATTTATTTTAAAATTTTCTATACTGTCCTTGTACCAAATTGTCTCAGGATGGTTTTGCAATAAAACAAAGTAAAGCACAGCATTATTTCTATACAGTAAAACCCCAACTAAAATAGCAATTCAAGCCTTAGAATACTGGGAAAATAAAAAGATTTTAGTCTGGCCCCAAAAAGAATAAAATGTTGGCTCCAGGTTCATATCTGTGGGGAGTGTATTCCATAACCATAATTTAAATACCTGGACCTGCCATTGTCACATCTGGGGTGCTTCTAGGCAAGGATTTTATAATACACAATTGCCTCAAATGCAACAATTCCATCTTTTGTGCTTCCACAAAAGAACCAAGTTTACACAGAAAAAGGCCTAATACTCCCACCATGGCTGGCTGTGGCATTCTGGGACTTGTAGAATGCCTAAAGATGAAAAGAGTGTGCCCTAACTAAGGAAAAAATGAATATCTGCACAATGCCTTTTGGCTTGTAGCACTAGGAAATGTACGTGATCTGGAAGCACCCCTCCTTTGGCTCTCCGATGAGCAGGGCCTCAAACTAACAGGGCCCTCAGAAGGCCAACTCAAGTGCTGAGTTGTTGAACTGGAAATACCAAGGAGTGGATACAGGCCCTTTACATGGACAGCTGGTGCTCCATCACTGAGCTATGGCTCCTTTCTTCCATCCAGCCAGCTAGGATCCTGGTTAGAGCCCACACATTATGGCAAGCCTACATAGTGTCAGCTTCAAGTGCCAGTGTAGTGCAGCCGTTTGAGTACTGGACTGGAATCTGGGAGAGCTAGCTATAAAGCTCAGTGGGTGACTTTGGGCCAGACAATCACTCTCAACATAGCCTACCTCACAGGGTTGTTGTGAGGATAAAATTGAGTGGAAAGGGATTGTGTAAACAACCTCAAGTTCTTTGAAGAAAAAAAAATCATGGGAAATAAATAACTCTCAAAGGGCTCCCTGTGGCATCCCCAGCTGCTACTTCTTCATCTTCCTCTTCCTCATCATTGTTACCACTTGCTTGCTTGATAGACGACGTTGTCAGAAGACAACGAGGCCGGGGCATTGGCTGTTCCTCCTTCTCATTGCTCTGACTTTGTGGGCCAAAGCAAGAAATAGCAAAACAAGCCCATCCAGGAGACTCATCAGTGGCCCCTTTTGGGTGTGGGAAATTGGCAGGTGTCCTACCGTGGTTCTTATCAGGAACGAATGTGTGAACAAATCCCCTGCATATACGTGTTTTCTTATGTAATGCTTACTTTGTGTGACATTGGTGAGGTTGCAATGTATTTAAGTAGGCCTGAGGCCTTGTTTTGGTCCTGTGTAGCCAGGTGGAAAACAGTGGCTTGGAAAATGATTATTAGGGAAACAATAGCTAATATTTGGTGTTAGACTGTGAAGGCTGAGGGAACAGGCTGCTGTTTGGGGTATGGTGGTTTAAAAGGATAAGAGAAAGCTGAGAAGCAAGTGAATTCCTAAGGCCTGAATAGTGAGCTGTTCCTTCTCTTAAGGGACAACCCTAAGTGGCTGCTGAAGATGAAAAATTAGGAGCATATGACTCTGCCACGTCAGGAAAAAATTCTAAAATGTTGCCAGAGCAAGGCTATAAAAACAGGTGATAAAAACTCAGATACATAGCCCAAATAGCTAGAAATATAAGTAGTAGGGATTTGGTCCAGAGGAAGATTTTATGTAGAACCTGCACCTTTCTGTAGGTTTAGGCAATTTCACATCAGGTAAAAGAAGTAATTCAGAGGCTGGTAGTAGCAACAGGATTTCTTGAGGCCTGAATGTTAGTCATTAAGCCTTCTTTTGAACCACCTAAAGTAAATACTAGTAACCCTTTGTGTACAAAATATTGTTTCAATAAATCACTTGTTTAATAGTTCATTTTATCTCTAATGCTTTATGGCATTTCATGCCTAACCCTCCTATACCAGCTACTAGGAGATTTAAAGCATTCCAAGTAAATTGATAGCAGCAGAAAAGGGTCAGTATGTGGAACTCTCAGTTGTACTGGCAGGGAGTTCCTTATTCCCTGAAATATAAGTATTTGCTATAACTATGAAACCTCATAGGTAGGACTACCCAGTGATGGAGCAGCCCCCCGCCCACCCCAGAAACCGTGGCAGTGCTGGAGAGAAGCTCCCATAGATGCTGAGCAATGTCTTGTTCATAACATCTAGACAAGGATCTGGATTCTATCAGTTCAAGTAGGCTGAGTGAGCATTGTGAGATGGACAATGATGAGCATATGGACTAAGATGAGTATATGCCTTTACACAGACCATGTGAATGAATGTCTCTTTCAAGAGACCATAGGTCTGTATATTCAACAGGGGTCTTCCCATATTCAAGCAGTTTCATCCATAGCGTCCTAAACATACTGGCCAGAATTTAACAGAATTCTTATGCTCCCACTGAATATTTTCTGCCCCAATTCCCTTCTCTAAGCATTGGGTTTGGCTAAGCCTATTAAGAGGGAGCCACCACTTAAAGAAGTGCTTAAACATAGCATTTTTTTAAAAAAAGGTCCTGAAATGAACAGTAATGCTGATTTCTGGAAGGAGGCAGAAGCTGGAAGGGAGCTTCACTGACCTGAAAGTGCTAAATCACAGTTCAACAAGCAGTGGGGTTTCTTTGTGCCATGCAGTTGATAGTGTATAAGAGAACTGGTGTGGGCATAAGCACTCCATTGGATTCTGCCCATTAAATTCTAAGTCACTTTGGGGCTCTATTTGTCTGAAAGGTTTATAAGTTAATCAAAAATAATCAAACATTTTGTGTGCTTTGGATGTGCACAACAAGTTCCTGCCCTGTGATGAACTGAATCACATGAAAAGTGATTCAGTTATTTTGGATTGCTGCTTCCTGTAGCAAGAGTCCATTTATTTTTATCTGCCCAGTACGCCTGTTGGTTACAAATCTAAAGTTAACTGAATTTCAAGAGGAAATGAACTGTATCTACAATTTTCCCTGTCATTTGGAGGAGGGGAGGGGAGGGATGGGATTGTGGGTGTTATTGTGTCTGTGTCTTCATCCATGGAGAGGCTTTAAGGACAAAACAATTCAGTACACTGAGTTTTGTTTTTGGTTTTCTTTTTGTCTGCATGATGAACTCAGTTTGAAAATACATTCTGTAAAAGTAGTCTGTGTTGGATCCAAATGGATTAAATGACAATGCAATGTGTTTCAGTACATATTAAGAGCCTGTGAAATATACCCACTATTTGAGTAAATTACGTGTCCATCTCAGAGTTAATTTAAGCACACACAAACATGCTTAAGGCTTACCTTCTGCCGTTTCCGAAGTATCCAGTTTTTCCATAGCAGAAGACTGACCTGCCTGCGGAAACTCATTCTTCTTGTACGCTGGCAGCATCCCAGACATGGAGAATAGAAATTCTTTGCAGTTATCTCCTCACGCACAGCTGAATCCTGAAAAGAAATAAACTTATAAGCAGATGTTCCTGTACAGGCACAAAACTTCTTTGTGCATGTGTAGCAAGGGAGGGGTGTTAATAAGAACTATAAACCATCAAAACAGAAGTTGTAACTCGATGATACATTGGCTGCATGCTGCTATGCTAGTAAACAATGTGATCTGGAATTGCCAATTCTGTGCTTGTATCAGTGTAGTGCCAGGAGCACAAGACCAACCCAAGACATTTTGCTTCTGGAAGGAAAGGATAGGATAGCATCCTCCTCATATTCCATTTACAAAAGTCAACTGGTTTGATTGGCATTTGAATCTTATTGATTTAGTTAGATATTTAATTTAACTTCTATGCTGCTCCATAACCTGAGGGTTCTCTTATTTCAACGCTGGAGAAGGAACAACTTCCTCTGCTGTACCTCTTAGAGGCTATTAGGAAGGCTATGTGGCACACACAGCATTGTCCTTGGAGGCCTCACTGCTGCCTAAAGCAATTGATTCATCCTGCCTAATGATATTGCCGGCCTGATATAATCTGCAGCCTTCTTACTCAAAGTATTGGTAGAAATCTGTTGTGAGTACTTGGTCTTGTAGCTGGAAGGAATATATCGGAATATAGAAAGCAAAACAATTGGAAATGTTCAGTATACATTCCAGTCACCAAGAAAGGAGATGCTAAGGAGTGCAGTAACTTTAGGACCACTGCACTAACTTTCCATGGAAGCAAAGTGATATGCAAAGTATTGCAAAAAACCCCCAAAAACTTAACCTCCGATATGGAGTGAAAATTGCTTGACATTCAAGCCAAAAAGGAAAAGGCACTTAAGATCATATCCCAAATATACATTGGCTACTAGAGCACACCAAAATATTTCAGAAGATCAGTTCATGCTTTATAGACAACAAAACCTTTAATGTGGTGGATCATCAGAAGCTATGGATAGTTCTGAAAAAGGTGGTTGTGCTTCAGCACTTGATCATTTTGATGCATAACATGTAATGTGGACAAGAAGCTACCGTTTGGTCATAATATGGAGAAACAGAATGGTTTCCTATATGCCAAGTCATCAGATAAGGGTGTATTTATCTCCCTATCCCTATCCTTATGATACGTTCAGTCTGTACTGAATATAACATAAGGAAATCCAGATTAGGATCTGAGGAAGAAATGAAAATTGGTGATACTGTATTACTAGCAGAAAGCAACAATGAATTGCAGGAAAGCTCCTGATGAAAGTGAAAGAAAGTACAAAAGCAAGACTGTTACTGAGCATTAAGAAAACAAAAATCATGGCTACAGAAGAATTACAGAATTTCATAGTCAACAGTGAAGAAATTGAAATTGTGAAGGTTTTTGTATCTGCAGCCAAGAAATTAGACGAAGACTGAGACTTAGGACAGCAGAACTGTCCAAGTATAAGGACATTATAACTGGAAACCAAGATCAAGGTCATTCATGCTCTTGTATTTCCAGTTATTGTATATGGATGTGCAAGCTGAAAGTGAAGAAAGCTGTCAGGAAGAAAATTGATGCATTTAAAACATGGTGCTGGAAGAAAGCTTTGCAAATACCCTGGACTTGTAGGAAGATGAAAAATGGGTCCTGGATCAAATAAAGTCAGAATTCTTCCTGGAAACAAATGACTGAAACTGTCATAGTTCAGGCACATCAAGAGAAAGCAAGACTCCCCAGAAAAGCCAATCATACTAGGGAAAGTTGAAGAAAGAAGAGGAAGACTGTGAGATGAATTGACTCCACAAAGGAAGCCACAGCCTTAAATTTGCAAGATCTGAGCAGATTTATGAAGCACAGGACATTTTGAAGGGCTTTGATTCATAGCATCACCATAACCTGGAGACAACTTGATGGCGTGTAACTACAATGGAAAGCAGAGGAATCTTAAACTGGGCTATGGAAAGAAATAGTTTCCTCCTGCTTCCTCCCTTTAAAAAGAAGGACGTTTTAACACAATGAAGAACATATTTGTTTGAAGTTTGCTAATGTAAACAAATGCGCATAGTGCAATTAATAATACAATCCTATAGTTTAATGCAACATTGTGATTGCAGTTTTAATCTGCACTTCTAGCCAGCAGAGGTGAGAAGGCAGATTGCCCATCCCAATCAATGAGGCAGGCCAAAGCTTAGCCCCTTCACTGACTTCACCCCTCTGCCTGACCCATTTTGCCTGTCTCCATGTAGACTGAGGCACAGAGTTCAGTTTCTCTCTGCAAGGGAAAGGGAATCGGGACAATACTTGAAGTTTCAAAGTGGTGCACCAGTCAGGCATCTCCTTTGCAATTAGGACAGTGCAAAATGTGCAAAGGGGAATCCATTTTGTTTTAGCTGATCAGTGATCAGAGATATCAGTGGAGATTCCTTTGAACACATGCATGCGGAGGGGGTAGACCTTAGGAAGGAAACTTCCATAGGCTGGAAGGGGAATTTCCATGAGCAGCATTTGCCCCTGTGCTGAAGGTTCCTCATTTCTGGTACACACACTTATCTAGAAGTAAAACCCACTACACTTTTCATGTCTTACTTCTTATATCTACAGGACTGATTCATAGAATAGTAGTATAGCATAGGACTGTATGGTTAGCAAATCTAAGATCAGAAGGGGTACCTTCTCTGCTGACAGGCTGTGGACACATCTGATTTATGGATTAACTGAACAAAATCTTCCCTAATTAAATTATAAATCCCATTTAGAGAAGTTGTGATTGGCTTGCAGGTGTTCTCACCTAGAAAGGCTGTGTCTGTGACCTTTCAAATGGACACTAAGATTCAGTTCAGGATCTCAGCCATTTCTACTATGGTAGCTGTCTTGGTATTTTAAGGATGCTAAACATACATTTGGAAGCTCAGAAAGCATTCTTTTTCAGTAAGTTACTTTTGATTTTATTCATCCACATATTTCCAGGATGTCTACTTCAGCTATTTCAACAATCTACAAAACTGATTAAAAACGGAACCCCAGACAAGGACATTTTGTCCTCTATTCATTATGTTTCAGTGAGTCTGTGGGGCAGAGTAACAGTAAATGCCAGACACTGTGTATAAATGGTATTTCATAGGGTTTCTGCATCTTCAGCACACACCCATTAAACAACAGGCATTTTGCTCTTATATAATGTTATTGGTCTCTTAACAGATTTTTATTAAGACTGCCAAATGCCTGGGCAGAGCTTCATACTTGAAGAAAGAGAATTAATAGCCCGTGCCATGTTTTTATGGAATCTACTGTTAAATGATTGCCCTTCATTTTTTTGAACGGCCAGGAAATACCTGATGGTAGACAAAAGGCAAACATCCACATATCTTCCTTTACAACAAAGACGGATGTAATCTACAGGTGCTTTCAGACAGAGAACTGCTAGGGCAGAAGGCATTGTACAGCGATTTCATCTTTTATTCCTCTTAACAGCTTTTCTGTGGTAATAAAAAAAACGTAGTGGGAAATCACAGGTTCTCCTGTAAAGTTACCTGGATGAAGCAGACTAATGGAATAACTTCTGCACAGAGTTGTGAGCAGTGACAATATTGCAGTCTTTTCTGTACCAGCTCAACCTTTTGATTTGTCCAGACTTTTTATGGATGGATATGATCTGTCTCTCCTTCATGGATTACTGCCTTGTCGTGGCAAAGGGGCTTGCGTAGCTCAATGAAGCTATGAGCTATGCCGTGCAGGGCCACCCAAGACAGACAGGTCATAGCAGAGAGCTCTGACAAAACGTGATCCACTGGAGAAGGAAATGGCAACCCACTCCAGTATCTTTGCCATGAAAACCCCGTGGACAGTACCAAAAGGCAAAAAGATATGATGCCGGAAGATGAGCCCCTCAGGTCGGAAGGTGTCCAGTATGCTACTGAGGAAGAGCGGAGGGCTAGTACTAGTAGCACCAGAAAAAATGAAGTGACTGGGTCAAAGCTGAAAGGACACTTAGTTGCTGATGTATCTGGTGGTGAAAGGAAAGTACGATGCCGCAAAGATCTATACTCTGTAGGAACCTGGAACGTAAGATCCATGAATCAAGGCAAGCTGGATGTGATCAAACAAGAGATGCCAAGACTGAACATCAACATCTTAGGAATCAGTGAACTAAAATGGACAGGAATGGGTGAATTGAATTCAGATGACCATCAGGTATACTACTGCAGGCAAGAATCCCTCAGAAGAAATGGAGTAGCCTTCATAGTCAATAAAAGAGTAGGAAAAGCAGTAATGGGATACAATCTCCAAAATGACAGAATGATCTCAGTTCGAATCCAAGGAAAACCATTCAACATCACAGTAGTCCACGTCTATGCCCCAACCACTGGAGCTGAAGAGGCTGAAGTTGACCAGTTCTATGAAGGCCTACAACACCTTCTAGCATTAACACCCAAAAATGATGTCCTTATCATCATGGGGGATTGGAATGCTAAAGTAGGAAGGCAAAAGATAACCGGAATAACAGGCAAGTTTGGCCTTGGAGTACAAAATGAAGCAGGGCACAGGCTGGTAGAATTTTGTCAAGAGAATATGGTCATGGCAAACACTCTTTTCCAACAACCCAAGAGATGACTCTACACATGGACATCACCAGACGGTCAACACAGAAATCAGATTGACTATGTCTGCAGCCAAAGATGGAGAAGCTCTATGCAGTCAGTAAAAACTAGACCAGGAGCTGACTGTGGCTCAGATCATGAGCTTCTTGTTGCAAAATTTAGGCTTAAACTGAAGAAAGTAGGGAAAAGCACTAGGCCACTCAGGTATGACCTAAATCATATCCCTGATGAATATACAGTAGAGGTGACAAATAGAGTTAAGGAATTAGATCTGATAGACAGAGTGCCTGAAGAACTATGGATGGAGGTTCGCAACATTGTAC